AAAGGCACATTATTTGCTAACCAGAAAACTAAAAATAGAAAGGTACATGTGTATGTAAATGCCACCAGCAATTTAATTCTTAAATATAATTTGAAAAAGTCCATTTTATAGTTAAAATGTGGTAAAATAGGAAATGACTAAGAGTTTAGGGAGCGTTGGTGGCCTAGTGGGCTAGCTGTACTTCCAACCCTTTAAAGGCAAGCAAGCGGTTTAAATTCATTAGCTGCTCCATGGGCTAAAGATGGGCAGTCTCTGATTTACAGTCCTGCAAACCTGCTGGAGGGTCTGGTTCTTACTCAATGCAATGACAGTGGAGTTTGTAAGTGAATATGTCGTACAGTCAAGTCTGTGAAAACCAGAACCTGTCTAAGACAGAAACTTGCCAATGAGGAACACTGAAAAACTGTTCACTAATTTTTTTGACAGAAGAATCGGAAGCTTCCACTACAAGATAAAGGTAAACAACCCAATTAAAAAATGGGCACAGAATATGAACAGACATTTCACCAAAGAAGACATTCAGATGGCCAACAAACACATGAAGAAATGTTCAAAATCCCTAGCTCTGAGAGATGCAAATCAAAACAACTATGTAAGAATAGCAAAATTTAACAGAACAGCAAACAACAAAAGGTGGCAAAGCTGCAGAGAAACTGGAACTCTTATTTACTGTTGGTGGCATTGTAAAATGGTGTAACCACTAAAGAGGGAACTATGGCATTTATGCAAAAAGTTGGAAATAGAAATATCATTTGACCCAGCAGTTCTACTCTGGGAATATATCCCAAAGAAGCCAGAACTGCCACCCAACCAGATATATGCACACCCATGTTTATTGCTGCTGTGTTCACAATAGCAAAGAGATGGAGACAACCTAAGTGCCTGCCCATCAACAAACGAATAGATAAGAGAAACTGTGGTATAGTCACACAATGGAATACTATGCTGCATTGAAAAACAAGGAACTCATGAAATATTATACAAAATAGGTGCCCATGGAGGACATTATACTGAGTGAAATATCTCAGTCACAAAAGGACAAATAGTGCATAGTATCACTGTTGTAAATCAGGACTGACATAGGGGTTGGTGGGAAACTAAGAGTGGATAAATAATGTATACTGCATTGAAACAGATGAGGAAGAGAACTGTTTAGGAGGAATTGTTGTTGTTATGTGCTGTCAAGTCGCTTGCAACTCATAGTGACCCTATGTACAACAGCCCTAAACTCTGCTCTGTCCTGTCCTGTACCAATTAACACCGTCTCAAATACACCCATCCTGATTACCCCAGTCACTGAATCAATCCACCTCATAGAGGGTCTTCCCCTCCTGCACTGTCCCTCCACCCTCCCAAGC